CTGTTTCTATTTTCCCTTACTTCAAAAGCTTCGTAGCAGATCTGTTGGGAATTGCAAAACAAAAGAGTTGTCAAGAAAACAGCAAACAGTCTGGGTTTGGGTTTTTTTATTGTTTTATTATACAGTGTTGGCAATTGGAAATTTCACATTGAAAATAATTGAAATATTGTATCCAACAAGTCAAATACAGAAAACAGTTAATATTCTAAAAAGGAGGCAGCTAGAAAGCTTCGTAGCAGATCTGTTGGGAATTGCAAAACAAAAGAGTTGTCAAGAAAACAGCAAACAGTCTGGGTTTGGGTTTTTTTATTGTTTTATTATACAGTGTTGGCAATTGGAAATTTCACATTGAAAATAATTGAAATATTGTATCCAACAAGTCAAATACAGAAAACAGTTAATATTCTAAAAAGGAGGCAGCTAGTCAACGCAGAGACACAGTCATGGAAAATACAGCTTTTAGTTACACTTAGAAAATTATATATTTCAGATAAAACTTGAACCTGGTCCAGCAAATTGTTTGACCTGTAAGAGGAAAATGCTTTTACACAGTTCAACGCTCAGACAGTCTCTGTGTAAAAAAAGTGATGTGTCAGTGTTAGCACAAGTATTGTCAGCAACAGCTCCTGCTTGTTCCAAGACCTAACGGATGTGCTTTACCAACTGCTCTAAAAATCACTTGCTTTACCTTCTCTGCTAAGCTGGTTCAGAGCAGGGATGTGTTTTTTTGTCTCTCCAGTTGTAGAGGTGGTGTTTGATTCCCTTTGTGTGTTATAAAATGCTAGAGGAAGCTCCAAATGGAAGCGTTAGCTTCACTGATGATAAAAGGTGCGGAATACTCACCATGCACCGCAGAGGTTTGAACAAAAGGGTTTGGTCCAGCAGTGTTGGAAAAGTTAAGACTCTGCTGCAAAGGAAGTTGGAAATCTGGGACCAGGTCTGCAAGCACCTGTGTGCCACCAACACCCACCAGTGTGGTGTTCCCACTGCTTCCAGCTGAACCATCGGCGCTTCCAGTTCTGCACGTGTGAAAGTCACGTCAGTAAGTAACGACAGGAATAGGTCGTTTGTGTCTAGGAGTTATGTTATGGCTGTTAATAAAAAGCTAAAATAATTTTACTCTCAGGAAGTGTTTAGATCTTTGCCCCAAAAAAAAAAAAGGGTTTCTACTTGACACTAACAAATCACTTTTTCTAGTGAAACATTAAGGGAACAGTTGTAAACATTACACAGAACAGAAAAACCCTACGCAGTACAGTTCCTACACACTACTCAACAGTTGCAGTTGTTGGTGGCTTTTATTTAACCATCTTGGTCCTGTCTTGTGTCATGATTCTAGTGTAAAGGCACAGGTTGGTTAGGAAAGAAAAGCCTTCATCTCTGTCTCTCTGCTCCATGTGATCATTTCCTTTCGTGTGGTGTTTGTTATCCCTCACTTTTCTGGCTCTTACATGAAAACTACCCACTTCAGCCCTTCAGCAAAAAGAGGTGTAAGACATTACTGAAAAACACATTACTGTACAGAAGTGGCTGAAACTTACTCTTCTCACTTCAGAGGCATTCATTCCTTCCCCCTATTTTGGTAAACACTTGGGAGATTTAATTCCTTAGTCCCTGTGAGCAAAAGCACACAGCATGTGCTCTCTGCTTCTCAGTGTACTGAATTCTTCAGTGGAATCTGCATTTTCCAAGATCAGTAATGGAATTTGCTAAGTTTATGTGCAGAATTTGCTTCCAGAGTGCCTGGAAATGTACCAACAGGGTCATTATTTTGGAAAACAACGTTCCATTGAAGCTTAGGAGGGTGAGGAATGTAAACAAGGCTGCAGAAAACTTTGATGTCTATTAAAATAGCACAGTGATTGTTCTATCTGTTTGCATTTTCTTATACATCCTCAACATGTCTCTGTCTGTCCCTTCGTGTACACCTTCCACTGGGAAAACAAAATCTGAGGAATTGGACTCAGCTCAGTGGAGAATAATCAGTTGGATCACCTGGTTTGTGCCAAAACACAACACTAAGAAGTACAGCTCTGAATTAAATATCATTTCTGTGACTTTTCTTCTTTAATAAATAATAGAAAATAAAAGATGAGAATAGAACTCAGTTTTCCTTTTAACTGAACAGCACAAGAGTGGGGTGAGATCAGAGCCCAACGTTTCTTTTGCTTAAGGCAATCAAGTGCACTTCTCTCAGTGCTGGACAGTGATGAGCTCAGTGCTGTTGTGGCAGTCAGAGCTCCCACACGGACACAAAAATGGCCATTTGCTACTTCTGGCACAACATCTGATTCTCTAGGTCATGTTCAATCACATTTCACTGCAGTAATGGGCTCTTAATTGCAATGGAAAGATTAGAACCTACTTCGTCCTGACTTGTGCTGTCACTACCTGTCAGGACCATTGGGCACAGACAGTTTTGTAAACAGATTTTTTGTGTTGGCCTTAAACAACAAACCCCAAAATCTACAGTTGGAATAGTTCGGAGAATTTTGTAGAAGTCCACCTAAAATTATACCTTAAGAAATATCACAGACCAAATTCTTAGCATTTTTTTTTCCTGTTGGTAAACTATTCAATCATCATGAAGCCTTTGGAAATAGTTAGATCTCTCAGGGAAAAAAAATAATTTAAGTTTTATGTAAGACTTCATGAAGATACTTCTAAACCTCAGGGAAAAAAAATAATTTAAGTTTTATGTAAGACTTCATGAAGATACTTCTAAACCTTGGGGATTAGGGCAGTGGTAAGAAGTGTGCCCACAGCTTTCAGCATAGAATCATAGTATAGAATTTAGGGGTTGGAATGGACCTTAGACATCATCCAGTCCCAACCCCTGCCCTGGGCAGGGACACCTCCTCACTAGATCAGGTTGCTCAAGGCTCATCCAGCCTGGCCTTGAACACCACCAGGGTTGGGGCAACCACCACATCCCTGGGCAACCTGTGCCAGTGTCTCACCACCCTCACAGGGAAAAAAATTCTTCTCACATCCAACCTAGAATTCCCATCTTTCAGTTTGAGCCCATTACCCCTTGTCCTATCACTGCAGTTCCTAACACAGAGTCCCTCTCTGACTCCTTGTAGGCCCTTCAGATATTGAAAAATTGCTCTGAGGTCTCCACACATGCAGCTACTGCTAATATAACTGAGATTAAAAAGAAACTTTATTCTTGTACACAATTCTTTTTAGCTTTCAAGCTTCATTTTAGGCCATGGCTACCAACAGGTGCTTTTTCCACTAATCAAAATAACTGTAACAAAACACCTTTACTGATCTTCAAATCAGTGGGTTCAGAAAAGTTTGGACATTGAATAATCTATCAAAAGTGAACTGAAGCTTTTCAAAGACTTAGGGTTTGAGACACAAAGAAACTGGGAGGTAGACAGATATTTTGAGGATAAACCCATTTGTTTGTGTCTAAGGCATTGTGCCCTGTGTGTTTAGAGCAGGGCAAAGGCTGCTGACCAACCTCCCCTCGACTCCAGCGCGTTCGCTGCTCCTGCTCACGGAAGACTATCAATGCACTTTTGGTCTTTGTGAGTCTGACCTTCTCTTCCCCATCTCCTCTTCTCTCTCTAGCAATACACCTAACTGGAAGTGCTATAATAATTTCTGCCCATTACCTGCAGACAGGAATGTTCTGTTTTTAACAGTAACAAAATACTATAAAATTGTAGGTATTGGAGTGGGAGATATGTGCTCTTTCGGTGCATATTTTGCAAAGAATGGTAAAAAGACAGACAACATGACCCCAACAATTGCCAGCATGTAGCCCCATCCGATCTGGCAGTCTCCTGCATAGTAGATGTCTGAGTTCTCACAGAATCTCTTCACAGTAGCAGAGTTGAACCCAAAAGGGTAAACCAAAAGCCCAGAAGCCATTATGAACACTAGAGGGGAAAGAGAAAAAAACAACACACCGATTATTGTCAAGCATTAATTCCTTGAGGAAAAAACCTTTATTTTAGAAAGACAAATATATAGCAGATTAAAATCAATGGGGAAAGTCTTAGCTTCAAAAAACCCTCATGACTGGCAGGTTATCCTTCTCCTCATAATTTCCTCATGGGCAGCAGTGCTGGGACATGGCAACAAATTGGGGTTCTTGCCATTCCACAGCTCCAGAAACTCTGCAATCTGAATTATGCAGCCTTGCAAAG